CTTGTCCCACAGCTTTGGGAGAAAGCAGAGGACTAGAACTCACACCCAGTCATTGCTTTTCAGGGGTGTGGGGGGAGGTTGAAGCCACCGGCCACAAGAGAGTCTGTCCATTTAAATTGCTTACGGTCCTTCCTGCCAGAGTGTGGGTGGGCTGCCCGGACAGTGGGGCGTGGGCTCTGTCTGAAGATCGGTCCTGCTTCACGCCGCTCAGGAGGCTGGCTCTCAGGACCCGGGATGCTGCCCCTTACACTGAACTCTCTGGGAAAAGCTTGGGAGGGAGGAGGCGGTTGCTGCGGTCACCTCCCTCCCACCAGCCACCTCGGGAAGTTCTGTCTGTCCCAGGTGGGAAGCACGGGCGATCCTAATAGAGCTGCCTAATCGCTTGTTTAAATTAGACATGTGGAGTGTAATGACTCCTGGCTGGGACCAGAGAAAGCCGTCAGCTGTCCTCTGCAGGGACCAGACCCGCCGGCCACACGTGGCCCCACGGGCTGCAGAAGCAGGGCATTCTCCCTGAGGCAGGGCTGGCCGGCTGGGGAGCCCAGGGGTTGAGGGGCAAAGGCAGCTGACACCTCGCTCCCTCCCTTCCTTACTCTGCTGCTCCCGGGCCCAGGGTGATCCTGAGAAGTGGGAGGAGAGGACCCAAGACAGCTGCCCAGCTCTGTCCCTGGCGCCTGAAGGGCAGCACCTGGCACAGGTGGGTCTGAAGTGCGCACCCGCACTGGCCTCCCAGCTGCAGGGGACAGAAAATGGGGCAAGTCCTAAGGCTTCGCAGGCCTAGGGGTGTGGCCATAAAGCCAGTAGGTTCGCTGTTTACCCAGAGTTTGGAGGTCTGGGGACAGAGGCGCGAGGGAAATATTAGCTATAGGCCTGTTAATTACTACTGTTTTTATCATTATTACAGAGGAGAGTGTTCCCCTGTTAGTTCCCTGGGAAACCAGGCTGGCGCCACCCAGGCCTAGTGCCCAGGAGAACAAGCACTGGCAAAGTACAGTCTCCCAATTCGCTCCCCTCCAAGCTGGTTCACATGGCCGGGCATGGTGCCTCTCTGCCTCTGCCAGGCCGCCCAACACACACACACACACACACACACACACACACACACACTTGTGCACAGATACACACATTCACACTTGCTCATGCAGATACACACATGCTACACACACACATGCACAGATACACACATGCTATACATGCACACACATGCATGCCGAGAGAGAGCGGGAGAGAGAGAGCGAGAGAGAGAATGTGGGATTGTTGCCCTTACTAGCTGTCTGGCCTTGGGCATGAGGCTTAACTTAGCCTCAGTTTCTTCATCCGCACAGTAGGGGTAATGTGAGTTGTTATGAGGATGAAAAGAGATAGTGAGTGGCAAGTCCCGGCAGAGAATAAGCCCTTAATGAAATTAGCTATCTTTTGCATCTATTTTAGCTATACGAGGCATATGTCATTGCCCCCATTTTATTTATTTTTATTTTTGTTTATCCAGTCCACAGCCCCATTTTAGAATGGAAGGGACTGAGCCCAAGAGGTGGGTCCCCAGCACAGGTCTGGGGCAGGCACCCTGTCTTCCTCATGCGAGGCCGTGGGCCGTGTGAGGCTCCGTGTTTGCAGAGTGGAGGCGCTTGGCCTCCTGCTGGCACCGCTCCAAGCCTGGGCTCTCCCCTCAGGCCAGGCTGGCCCCGGGGAGACAGGAGGCCCAGCTGGGCCAGGACTGCAGCCCTGGAGGACAGCGCCTCTCCACAACTGCAGGGGGTGGGGGCTCCCTGCACTTGGGCACAAAGGAGGGACTCCCAAAGGTGGGAGCTGAGTCTCAGGGTCATGGAGCCCAAAGACGCTTCGCCAGCCGGAGGGTAGGAGCCTGGGGTGGCCTCCCACAGCCCAGCTCCATTGAGGGCAGGTTAGGTGACGGGTGGTTTCTTGGCAAGTCATGCCTTTTCGGTTTCACCCTCTCTCTTACCCAGGAAGTTCTCCCCCACACCCAGCCACAGTGTCCTATGGCATGTCATCTGGTTTCCTGACCCTGGTACTCAGGGGAGATGGACTTGGCTTCAGGCCCCAGCCAGACACTTGCCTGTGGCGGCCAGGAAGAGAGGCTGGGCCTTTGTGTGTGCTGGCCAGTCCTTGGGGCCTGGGTGTGACCTTTCACATGCACATGCTAGGCCTGGGGGGTTAGGAGTGAGTGCCAGGGAGAGCCCCCCGCCTCCCCACCCCCCACCCCCATCTCTCCCCCCGGCTTCATGCGGGGAATGTTTGCCTGGCTGGGGACTGGAGTGGAAGCCATTCTCAGGATGAGATAAGAGAATGTCACCAGCCCTAGGAGGTGGCCGGGCGCTGGTGTGAACCACGCCTCTGCTACAGACCCCTTCCTTGGTCTCAGACAGTCACTGTAAGCCTCGGGGTCCCAGTCTGTGATGAGAATGCCGCCTTCCTACTCCACGGGGGAGGAGGACTCAACGAGGCCAGGCAGGGGAAGGCTGCGCTTGGTGCCAACGTAAAACGTGCTGCTGTGGATGCTGAAGCGAGGGTTGGGGGCCTGGCCGGGATAATAACTCTGTGAACCCTGACACGTGGGGTCAATGCTGGTGACTAGATCCCCAGACTGCTGCCTGCGGACGAGCCCAAGGCCTAATGCTTGGGCCGGGGAGCAGGCACTCACAGCTGGGGCCCCTCCACACTCAGGGAATGCTTTCCTGGAGCAGGAGAGAGGCCAGGGAAAGTGGAGAAGAGAAAACCCCAGCACTTTCTCCTCTGTGCGCCCCACTCCTCAGCTCCTGGAGGAGCTGAGCTGCGTAATACAATGGGATTTAATAAAATGCCTTTAACTCCCAAAGTTTGTCTGCTGCCAGCTCCTTAATTAAATTGCCCAATGCCGCTCTGCGATGGCAGCACAAACTCCTGTGTTTAAAGAGCACGGTGTTGCCATGGCACCCCCGACAGACAGGGCCAGCGGGTGTGGAGGAACATACAGATGAGGCGTGGGGGTGGCCCCTGCCCACAGTGTCCACCCCATATCCTGCATGTACACACACACACACACACACACACACACACACACACACACACACACACAATCAGGCAGGCTCTGATTTCCTGGGAAAGGCTTTATCCTCACTAGGAATGCTGAGCCTGAACCTTGCAAAGGGAGACTCAGGGTGGCAATGGGGGCATTTGAGCAAAGCAGAGCTGGCCAACTGGTATGGCTGTGGCAGGTCCCTGGGGCAGCTGTGTGTCTCATCTCCCCAGCCCAGGATCTGAGAGGAGCAGCCCCCCTCCAGGGGCACTTTACAAATACACTGTCTATGCCTGCCTCCACCGGGGAAGGGAGGGACGCACTGGACCAGTCTGATTGGCTGGATGGAAGGAGTATGTGCTTTCACACGTGGAGGGTGGAGGACAGAGGATTGCAATTTCTGAATTTTTCCTTCAGATGCAGTGGCTCTCAGTCCAGGCTTCCCATTAAAACCATTTGGGGGATTTTTTCACTAACATTGTATGCAAATTTTCAAATATACAGCAAAGTTGAAAGAATTTTACAGTGAGCAACAATATGCCCACCATCTACCAGACCCTACCATTAACCTTTTCCTAGACTTGCGTTATCACATCCTCCATCTGTCCCTCAATCCATCTTATTTTGGGTGCATTTCCAAGTAAATTGCAGACATCAGTACACGTCATTCTAAATTCTTCAGTATGCGTAACTATGGACTTTAATTTTGTTTTACAGGGGTTTTTTTTTCTTTTGATATAAAATTTACATACAAAGAAATCCTGGAGAGTTTTGTGTGTGTTTTAAATGCCAAGTCCCCAGAGATTGGCTGAATTGGTCTGGAGAGGGACAGGGGCAGCGATTCTCATTTTTATCACCCCCAAGCAAAATGTGGAACTCCCCCGGCCACGCCCTCTAAGCCCCAGGCCCCTCCCACCAGGTGCTCTCCGTGTATGCCCTCCACCTCCAAGTGCACGCTTTGTTTATTTACTGTGGCCCTCGGCGCCCAGGCACATCCACTGTTCTCGTGTTCGCGTTATAGAGGGGGTCCTCGCGTCGTGTCCATTTCCCAACGGCAGAAACCACATCCGGTTGAGATGCCGTGCGTGTCGCAGCAATGAAGCCGTATACCCTTTATTTGGCTTATCGGGGTGCTTGTGAGGACTCGGACTGTGGAGTGGATGGAAAAGACAATGATGCTAGTGGAGGGCATTCCGAGTTTTCGATGGCAGTGAGCACAGGGTCCTGGTGGTCACAGCTGAGGACAGCGGCAACAGTGGGTCTGGTGCTATTGATAGAGATGATGGGCTGCAGGTGGGGTCACCAGGTGATGCGTTGTGCAGGTGGTCATCGTGGTGACACTGCTGACGTCACCCTCTGAGGGCGATGTGCAGGCAGGTGCTTATCCGCCCACTGATGCCCACCTGGGAAAGTGTTGGTTGTCACATAAACCGGAAGTTCGGTCTTCCCACCAGAGAACCCCACGGTTGCAAGGCGCAGCTCCTTCCGAAATGCTGAGGCCACCGAGAGCCTTCACCCCCGGAGCCTGGAAGATGCCGGACTGCGCGCTGCAGCTCACGCTCAGCCACCCTGTTCCACTGCCAGGCCCGGCCCCTGGAGTCAGTGCGAGAGGGTCATTGGGAAGGTTTATTTGGGATGAGCAGACCTGGGAGCCACTGGACTTGGGATGCCAGCCTTCTCATGATCGATAGGGCTTTTACTTGCTGCCTATGTGGTTTCCTGTCCTTTCATACCGGGTACACTCTTGAGGGAGGACAGAGGGGAAGTGGCCCCTCCCTTAACCCAGGCGACAGGGGACAGAGCGATGCAAAGCCTGTGCTTAGCTGGCGTCCCTCTGAATTGTTCTGGGCTACTGGGCTAAGGAGGGAGGACCAAGGAAAAGGTCGGGCTGCTAAGACTTTTTTGTTTTTTAGTATATAAATAAGCCCAGAGAATGATGCTGAAAAATACCTTTAAAATAACGTTGCCCAACCCTTTTGTTTTACAGATGAGAAAACCTGGGCCACGTGGGCAGCAAATAAAATCCCTGTTGAGAACAACAATAAAATACCCTCGTGTACATATATATATCTCTAAAGACGCAAAGACACCCCACGCCTGTGGTCTGACTGGAGCTTAGACCAGCCCTGTGAGCTGCCGGGAGCTTCCTGCCCGTCTGACGATGGCTCCCGAATCCCTCCCAGATTCTTCCCACTAGCAACAAGCCAGGTGATGTTTCGTAGCACGTGCAGCTCATCGTACATATTTCACACTCGTGCTTTCCTGTATCTGTGCCGCATCTCTGTGCAAAAGACTCCTGTCCCCACTTCTCGGAGGAGAAAACTGAGGCTCCTGGAGGGTAAGCATCTTGCCCAGCTGGCACAGCTTCACTGTGCAGCGTGGAACTCGAACCCAGGATCCCTGTGCTCATGTCCTAGGGTTGCCATACACAAAGCACTACAATCCACGAGGCTTAAATACCGGAAATCCGTTGTCTCACAGCTCTGAGGTCAGAAGTCTGGAGTCAGGGCATCCATCAGACCAGGCTCCCTCTGAAAGCTGTAGGGGAGACTCCCTCCTGGCTACTCCCCTCAGCTTGCAGCTGCAGCCCTCCCATCTCCACCTCTATCCCCACATGATTCTCCCGGTGCCTGTGTGTCTGCATCCAAACTTCCCTCCTTTCATACGGACGCCAGTCATGGGTTAGGGCAGTGGTTCTCAACCTTCTGGCCCTTTAAATACAGCTCCTCATGTTGTGGTGACCCCCAACCATAAAATTATTTTCGTTGCTACTTCATAACTGTAATGTTGCTACTGTTATGAATCGTAATGCAAATATCTGATATGCAGGATGGTCTTAGGCGACCCCTGTGAAAGGGCCGTTCGACCGCCAAAGGGGTCGAGATCCACAGGTTGAGAACCGCTGGGTTAGGGACGACCTCGTCTTAACGATCCCATCTGCAAAGACCCCATTTCCAAATGAAGGTCACATTCACATGTACTGGGAGTTAGGGCTTCAATATATCTTTGGGGGAGGAGAGGTCACAGGTCAACCAGACCCTCCCTGACCCAAGCCAGTGGCCTTCCACACGTGCAGTTTGCACCTGTGCCCCATCCCGTCCATTTCCTCCTCCCCATCTCTCACCACCGAGGACGAGGCGCTCCCCTCTCCTGCAAGACAGGGAGCTGGGAGCACGTGTCATCTTCTGCTTCCCCGGTCACCAAGATGCTGAGGCAGAATCATGAAATGCAGTTGGGCCTTTCGTCCTCTCTGTTCCCAGACAGTACAAACCATTAAGGCTTGCTCTTAATTAGTTTAATTTCGAGACTTCTCAATATTGATTTAACCTCCACTCCTTTGTACTTGCTGCAGGCACTGAATTATGCCTGTTATTGATCGTGGGTGGAAGCGTTTCCAGCCACCAGACTCGGCTCCGCCGCGGGTCCCCACCCCGCCCCCAGGGTGGGGGTGGTGGTGCTGGGCTCAGGAGGTGGGGACCAACTCGGGGAGAGGGAGCCTCTAGGCCAGATTGGGGTGGGCCCTCCCCCGAGGAAGGACTGCTCGGCTTAGGCCCGGGGCCAGTCTCTTTCTCTTGGGTTGGCCCAGACTCAGGGAGTTTGAATGAGAAGTCAGCTGACAGTCTCCCAGTCCCATTCCAGGCCCGAGGAGAGCTGGGCAGGGGGCGCTGCAGGAGGGTGACGTGGGGTCAGGATTTAGAGCACAGGCTTCGGCACCAGCCACCACCAAGCTGGAGTCCTGGCTCGACCAGCTGCGCATCCTTGAGCATCTCACACCTGTGACATGGGCCAGTCACCCCATGTCAGTGTTGTTGTGAGCATTCAGTGCAGCCACTCAGGGCAGGCCCCAGCCCAAGGCCTGGCTCCGTCCTCCGTCAGTGGCTACCATGGTCACTACTGCTGTCCCCCTGGGAGAGAAGGCCTAGACTTGGCATCACACTCTACCTTCTAGCCCCGGCCCCATTACTCTCTGGCTGTGTGATCTTGGGCAATTCATTTTAAAATCCTTTCCATTGAAATGGGAGTAACGGCACCTCAGACCTTGCGGGGCTATTGTGAGAATCACATAGGATGGTGGATACGGAAGAATTTAAATTGCAAGGAGCATCCACTCCTGACGGATTATGAGCGTTGATGGCTATAGTGGTCACTGCCCTCCATGCGCCCGTTGGCGGCCCTCTGCCTGCACCACCGTGTCCAGGCCACTCAGCTCTGGCGCGCTGCTCCAGCCTCCTCCCCACATCACGCACACGGGACCTGGGGGCAGCCACCTTGGAATTCATGCCCTGCGTTTTACCCAGGCTGCCTCCAATATGCGCACAGCGCCTTCCGCCATCTGTGCGCCTGCTGACCTGCTGACTCAGGCAGCACTTCCCTGGTGGTTTTTTTAAAACAGCTTTAGTGAAGTTGTGAATTTGCATTCCATCAAATTCATCCACGTTTAGTGTGCAATTCAATGACGTTGCTCTGATTTTTTTGCCCAACTTCCCACCTGAAGCAGAAGTGTGTTCCCTCCTCCCTTGTGCCCATTGCCCTTGATAAGTGCCTGTGACGCCCGCTACAATGCTGTGGCAGAGCGGTTTTTTATCTGTGCCTTCCTGCCTGCCCTCCCCATAACCTTGTACCCCCACACCCGCATCACACCAGCATCCAATCAGGGCTCGGGGAATGCTCATTGTGTGCACAGTGGAGGTGAGGGGGGTTCTGGAAACTCTAGTCTTAACTGTCAGGATAATGATAAGAAACTCATTATATATATATACATACACACACACATATATATACACACACACACACACACATACACATACATATACACATACATATACATAATTCTAATCTCAGCTTGGCCATTATCTCAAATGGGAGCAGCTGGAGGGCTTGGGCAAACCTAGGCCACTGGCCCCTCCCTCAGAGAGTCTGAGTCGGGAGGGGCTGGGTCCGAGAACCCGCATTTCTAACAAGTTTGCAGGTGATGCTGATGCCAGGGCCCAGGAACCACCGTGTTAGAACTGCCCGCTGCTCGGGCCCAGCCCTCTCATTATCTGGGTGAGGAGCCAAGGCCTGGAGAAATGAGAGGACATGTTCCCAGTCGGTCCCGAAGCCCAGACAAAACCCAGGCCTGTGTCCTGGCCTCTGCCTCCCCCTCTGGCTTCAGAGAAGCAGGCTGAGGGGTGCAGAAGGTGGACAGAGCTTCCCCTAGGCCTGGGCCCACCTGGGGAGGGGAGGTGGAGGAGGGGCTACTGAGGGAGAGGTCAGCGGGATTGGAGAGGGGACCAAAGGCAGGGGACCAGGTGAACAAGTGGCCAGGGCAGGCCTGCAGGAGGAGGTGAGGGATGACAGCCATTCTCCCCGCAGTCAGAAGGGAGGCGGTTGGGAGGGGCTGCTGCAGGCCTCAGCTGCAGCCATTCATCTCGCAGGCTGCCTGAGACAGCTGACAGAGGGAGCAGGCGCTGAGCCCGGCAGACACCAGGCTCCTTCCGCCAGCGATTTATCTCTGGGCTTCATCTGGCAAACCTGCTGATGAAACGAGTCTCCTTCTCTCTCCGCCTCATCAATTTTCATTCTCATTTCATTTTCCTTTTCCGTTAGAAGACGTTCAGCCTTTCTCCTTGTTTAACTGGCCTCCCCATTTGATCCACTGCCCATTCTCCTCAGCCATCCAGGCCCCCAATCCTGTCCCCAACATCTCCCCCCAGCTCCACCCCCATGCCCTGGGGGTCCCTCCCTCTGTGCACAAATACTGGAGAGAGAAACCCAACGCACCTCCAGCCCCATCGATCTCCCCCATTCACCTCAAACAAGACTGGAAGATTTATGGTGCTTCCCTTTAGTTCTGGAGCAGCTCACAGTCTGAGAGAAGAGATGAGCATCATACTGGATTGGATTCTTAGAGGATGCGGGAAGGGGCGAGGGACTGGTTAATTGGTGATAGCTGTGGTCAGGGACAGCTTCTGAGAGGTGCAGTATAAACTGAGATTTCAGAGATGGGAAGACATTACACACATGAGAAAGCGAACTTCTAGGCAAGGGCCCTGCATGTGCAAAGGCACTGGGGCAGCGGAGTATTGCTTGCACCTCTCTGAAGGCTCCCCCTGCCCTTGCATCTAGCTCCTAGGAACCCACTGTGCCCAAAGGGATGTCCTGGGGCCCTGGCTTCCCAAGGGAGCCTTTTGAGAATGCTACTGGGTCTGCCCCACACCCCCACCTGATTCTTGAAAGAACAAGGGGGATTATAGGGAAGGAGGCTGGAGGGCTCACGGATCTGGGCGTGGCTGCCCCTCTGGCTTCTGACTGGCCAGGGTGGAATGCTGTCAAGCTGGGACATTTAGGCTCTGCCGGAGGGACCTCTTCCCCCTTCCAGTGTCTGTCTGGTGGTCTAGAAGCCAGGGATGGTGCCTCAGCAAACAGAGAAGATGAAAGGGAAGGGGCTCTACTGAGCTCCAGGCACTTATGGACATCCCCCCATGAGGCAGGAGCACCTGAATGAGGATGCCCAAGGCCAAGAGCCAGCACCAGGATTCACATGGGAACCACTAGCCTAGTCCTCGCGGGGCAGAGGGCGTGGGCGGGGGGTGGGGGGGCGTAGAATCCACAGGATTTGGCCAGAGGGGAGCCTGAGAGAGCTCTGGAAGGGTGAGCATCATCAGAGGATCCTGTTGAATCCAGAAGCAGAAACTGAGTCAGAGAGAAGCGCCTTTTCTCCCTGAGGGAAGGGCTCAAGTGGCTGAGCAGCGGCCAGAGCCATGGGCAGGGGCAGGGGCAGGGGCAGGACGCGGGCCTGAGGAAGCTGGGCTCTGGGTGCCATTGTGTCTCCTGCCAGTTGGTGATGAAGGAGGCAGAAGGGGCCTGAGCCCAGATGCCAAGCCCCCTGGTCTTCGGGAGCTCTGAACATCCAGCCCCTCCTCTCTCCCTGCCCTCCCTTCCTTGCCTTTCTTTCCTGCTTCCACAGATGTTTTCTGAGCTCCTACGATGTGCCAGACGGTTGGAGGAACTGGCCACTTGGAGAATAGTCCCTTCCCCTGAGGGGCCCACAGTCTGGTGGGGGAGACAGACAGACAAGTAAACAGGTAGTTTATGACGGAGGGATGTTGGGGCACAGGAGAGGGAGGGGTGGAGCAAAAGTCTGGCAGCGCCTGGCGGTGGGACCTGCCGGGTACTGCTCTCCACGCGGGCAGGATGGCTCCACTCCCTGCAGTCCTTTCGGTGCAGTGCGACCAGACAGAAGGACTGGCACCCTCCACTCCTAACTCAGAAATAGCCGGACAGGCTGCCTCCCAGGCCCAGAGCTCTACCACCCTCTGCCGGGCCGGCCAGGAGACCTGGGGACAGCGCTATGCCCAGACAAGCCCCTTCGCTCCTGGCCCAGGAGGGGTTTTTACTGGAACCCTGACGCCTCTCCAGAGAGGAGGGGAGGGGAGGGAAGGACACCAGACACCTCCTCTTTCCCCAGGAGATGCCCCCAGTTTTCCTCCCTGCTCTCCTCCAAGACCCACCCCCCGCCCCCCAAACATTTACTCTTGGAAGTCAGCTTCTGGCACCAGAATCACAGGAGAGAGGGCTGCCAGTGAAACACACCCAGCCCAAATCCTGGCTCTCCACACTTCGCTGTGGGTCTTGGGCTGGCCACTGAGCTTGGAGTTTCTGTCCTAAAAAGTGCCTCCTCCCAGGTTGCGGGGTGCAGCCAGCACATAGAGACCCCAGCAGGGAGGAGGCGCCCAGGGACGGCGCATCTTCCTCTGGGGCTTCGCTCTCTGCATCCCTGCCCTGGTGTCAACCAGAGCTGAAGGGACTCACTTACCAAGAGGGGGATGCTCAGTGGAACAATGGTTTTCCAGCTTTTGTAGCTGCAACCCAAGGCCAAACGCGCATGCCTTTTCATCACGTCCCTGTACAGTGTGCACGCGGGTGTGTGCGTGTGCATGCGCGTGTGTGCGCGTGTGCATGTGTGTGTGTGTGTGTGTGTGTGTGTGGAAAATAGGGGGGACTTCTCAGCTATGTTTACTCTAGCTACACACAATGCACTCTGATGTTTCTATTTTCATTTCTGTTTTTAAAATGCAGATTGTGACCCACTTTCAACTGTTTTCGTGGCCCACTAATGGGCTGCCCTTCACAGTTCACGGCAGTAGAGCACGCCCCGCCCCTGCAGGGGAGGTCTGCCCTGCACCGCACTCTGAAGAGACAGAAATCAATAGCGGAGCATCGTTTCCTCGAGGGGCCCGCAGCCTGGCCAGGACGGCACACCTGCAGCCTGACGGCGAGAACGGTGCTGTGTGGAGGTCTGTCCCAGGGTCTCTGGGCCTGCGGTGGGAGGGGAGGGGTAACCACCCTTCTCGAGGGGACTGGGGAAAGCACCTCGGAGGAGGGGGCATTTAGGAGGGGGTTTGATGGCTGAAGAGGAGCTCGGTAGTTGAAGCTGCTTTGCAGGCGGCCTGAGATGCCCAAGGGGTGAAAGGAAGTAGCAAGTCTGGTTTAGTGGGAGCACAGGGTGTCTGGGCAGGAGAGGCTCACTTAAGGGTGAGGAAGAGAGACCAAAGAGCACGGGTGGGAGGGGGGGTGGAGAGGGAGGAAAGGGAAGGGTCAAGATGGCAGACGTTTGCAGCCGTGGAGGCGCATGGCAGGGGTGCTGCCTGAGAGAGATGGGGCTGAAGAAGCAAGAGCAGGTTTGGTGGGAGAAGATGGAGAAGATGCTGGGATTGGGCACGTTGAGTGTGAGGAGCCTCTGAGACAAGCAGGTGGAGGCATTGGGGGCGGTTAGAAGTGAGGCTGGGCCCGCCTTCCTGACCACCTGTGGGCCTGTCCTTGGCCCAGTGCCCCAGAGCCCTAAGGAGAAGACCGGGAGGGGGGGTGAGCAGAAAGGGGGTGAGCAGCGCTGCAGCAGATACTGGCCAGGACCCAGCAGGGCTGCGGGGAAGGGAGTCACAGGGGCGCACAGGGCCAGGAGTTCAGCCTGCCATCTCCCTGCCTCGAGGCAGCCTGGCACTCACGGGCCCAGGCCACGGATCCAGCCAGAGCAGGGCCCTCAGGCGTAGAGCAATTTTCCGATATGGGAACTATGGAACGAGAAAGAGGACTCGGTCTCCCTTCCTGGAGAAGGCTGATGACGCATGAGACCCTGAGAAGCCAGAGCCCTCAGGGAACACAAGGATGAATTGGGTGAATTTCAAGTCTGAAGTTCTGGCATTTCCTAAAGTTTCCAAAGACCGTGTCCCCGGCTGTGATGGAAAAGGAAGGGAAATCTGGGTTTAAAGGATGAAACTGGCCCTATTTCGTTTGGCTCGGTGGTTAGAGCACTGGCCTGCGGACTGAAGGGTCCCGGGTTCAGTTCCGGTCAAGGTGACTACCTTGGTTGCAGGCTCGATCCCTGGCCCTGGTCAGGGCACAGGAGGGAGGCAACCAATTGATGTGTCTCTCCCACATCAATGTTTCTCTCTCTGTCTCTCTTCCTCCGTTCCACTCTCTCTAAAAATCAATAGAAAAAACATATCCTTGAGGGAGGATTAACAACAACAAAAAAGATGAAACTGGTTGATGGTGACAGAAGTCAAGACAGTGGCTAACGCCAGATGGGGGGCGGGATGGGACTGGAAAGGAACCTTCCCAGGAACCTTCTAGAAGGCTGAAATATTTCTGTCTTGAGTTCAGTGGTAGTTATACTGGTATCCACAAATGTAGACATTCATGCAGCTGTGCCCTTGGAATTAGTGTTATTTGTGCACTCTGCTGTACAAATGTTACACCCCAATAATATTCTTTAAAAGTTGAATACAAACGATGAGAGATGAGAAGAAAGAAGAGAAGATGGAATAAAAGGCAACATCAGGGGCAAATGAAGGGACTAAGAAGTGTGGCCTCTGCCTTACGCCCACAGCTATTCTGTGAGCCACGTCCCAGCCTGGGCCTTTGAGGCTCAGAGAATGACCCACTTTGCCCAAGGTCGCACAGCGAGGGGCAGAGCCAGGTTCAAAGTGATTGCAAAGCCCAGGACCCTCCCTTCGCCTCTCCCCCTTTGCATGAGTCATGCATGGAATCCAGGCTCTGGAAGACTGGATAAACGCCGCCTGCGCCCCCGCCGAGGTCTCCTTCCGCTCTGAGGTCCTAGTTGTCTGTGATTAAGTGAGCGGTGGGAGTGAGGGCCATGCTCACCTCCCAGGAGGGGCAGAGGCCAGGTGCGCAGATGGAGCGCTGGCTTCCCTCCCTCGGCAGCCCTTCCACCCAGCGCTTATCTGCCGGTGCGGAGGCCGGAGTTTATCAACGCTACACTCAATTATGCTGCCCATCTGTCTGCGCAGCTCAGGGGGGCCTGGCACTGAAGCTGCGAAGGCCGGGCAATCGATCACCGCCTGCCCACCTGCCCCCCCCCCGAACCCCAGCTCCCAGGGGTGAGGTGGAGGCGCGGGGGGCGGGGGGGGGCAGATTTCGGGGACGGAGGCTGTGAGAGGCTGTAGGAGCAGCAATTTAGATGTGGCAGGAACACAGGCACTGTGCTGGGGCGGGGCGGGCTGGAGAGGAGGAAAGGGCAGCTCTGGCTCCTGACAACACCGTCTGCAGAGCTTAGTTTAATAATCAGGTCCTCACTCTGCTCAATCCAGAGCAGCTGCCTGGGGGAGGTGGGGCCTGCAGAGCCAGCCCTTCCAAGAGAAAACGTGGCCCCTGGAGTGGGCAACCTTGCTTCCCTGACTGTAGGTCCTGGGCCTTCTGTCTCCTGTAGTTAAGGCCGTGCGGGTAGCAGTGCTGACAAAGAGCACCACCCCCAGCCCCCAGTCAGAAGGCAGGCCAGGGCCTGCGTGAGGCCTGCTGGCTCTGTTTGCCCTGTGGTTCCAGGCCCAGCCACATTCACCTGGGAACACTGTCTTCCCTATGCGGTCCCGCCAGTAGGTCACTCTCGCCAGGACCCTAGGAGGGGCGTCTGAGGGTAGCCAGGGAGAGGGAGCTCGGACCCAGGCCATCTCTGAAGGGAACTGCGCCTGGGCGGGCATGCTGGGCCAACCCTGCACCCTGCTCCTATGAGACAGGCATTGATCGCAGGGCAGGGAGCGTTGGCTGGGCTGGCGGCTCAGGTTATGGAGTCAAAGACCCAGGTTTGAATTCTGACCCCGCCCGTAGAAGCTGTGCAACCTCTGACAAGTCACCCAACCTCTCAGAGCCTCTGTTGCTTTCCCTGCAAAAGGAGGCCAAATCCCTTCTCTGCTTACACGCAGGGTTGTGGGAAGGTGACACGTTTCACTATTTGTATCCACTCACACGTACCCTCTCACGCACAGTGCTACACCCCGCACGATGGGGACACAAAAAGCACGTAAGACATGCCCCCTGCGCCAGGAGTTTGGAACCCAGGTGGGAAATGTACACGTGATAGTCTGAACTCCCGCTCACCCGGGAGATTGTGGATACAAGACAATTAGCTTTCTCTGCGCTCCTGGCAGAAATTGCTCATCAGCCTGCATGAGTGGGCCGTGTGCAAGACAGCCTTGAATGGCGATGGCAGGTGAGTGGGCGGCCCTGAGCTCCACCCTGGACGGGCTGCATGCTCATCAGGGAAGGGGTGGGGGGCTTTTCGGGCCTTTGCCAAGTCTTGGGATCAGAGGTGTGAAAACATGAGTCATCTGGCCACCTGGCGAGAGCCAGAGCATTGCCTCAATCACCCATCCCAGCCTGGGGTGCAGGGAAAGGCCCCTCTCGGACGGTTTTAATTGTTTTTAATGGTTTCGCTGTCACTAAATTGTTAGAACAAAGGTGGGGGAGGAGAGATGCCCTGGACTCAGGCAGGGTCTGAGATGCCTGGGCCCCGCTGAAGCCCCCTCCCCACCACCCACTCCAGCCTTCTCTCCGCCTGTGAATGGTCTCTGGCTCTCCCGATCACTTTGCATTTTGGGTGCTGCCAGAGAGGCAGTCTTAGAGGGTGTGGCATGCTATTGTCTATTTCTGCTCACAGCTCCCCACCCCATCACCTGGGGGCAACACTGAGCCCACAGTGGGCAAGCTTAATAGGGGCTTGTCAAGCTCTGGGATCCAACTTCTGTTCCTCCTGAAAGCCCTGGTTGCAGGGCCTCCCAACCCCAGGGGGTGAACGGAGCTGGAAGGAGACCAACATTAATTGAACTCTTTCCCTGTGCAACACAGTTCCCTTAGCCCTAATGACAACCTCACTTATCCGTAAGGAACAGGCGCTCCAAGAAGCCCATAACTGCTCCCACGGGGCTCTGGTAGGAGGTGGTGGGTGCGCAACAGCAAGATCTCCTCGCTGGTGGGGTCCGCTCCTCGGGCCAGGTCTAGGGAGGAAGCGGGACTTCTGGCCTTGGACCCAGTTCCATGTCAAGGCCCTTCGGGAACCCAGCTGTCCCCGCTGCCTCTCCACCCACGGAGTGTGCCGCCGAACCCCCTCCCCTGTTCCCGGCCACCAGGCATGGCTCGGGTGGCCGTCCCCCACCCACCCCAGGCTCCCCCGGCACATGTATGCAGGTGCACGTGCATGTGTGCACACGTGTTTGTTTGCCCTGAGTTTTGTGGGTCAGTGCCCACATAAGTCGTGGTTGGAAAAAACAGCCATGACAAAATGCACCAAGGTAGCTGCAAAAGGAGGGGGGAGGGAGGTCGCCTGATGTAGACGGGCGTGCCGCTCTCCTGCTCAGGGAGGGCGCCAGGCCTCCCATGGCTGTCCTGCCAGCCCAGGGTCCTGGACGCTGGATGAAGTGGGCAAAGAGCTCCTCTGGCCAGCTGAGCGGCGCCCGTCTGAAAGGTGGTAGGAGACACAGCTTCCAGCTTCCTAAAGCTCCCTAGTGAGGAAGGAGACAAGAATGGGCACCCACCCTGCCGCTGCAGCCACCAGTGCACCCCGGGGTGCCCAGGGTAGGCTCTGGCCAGACCTGGGAACCAAGAAGCGTGGTGCAACTGGCACAAGCTCTGGGCATGGGGAGATTCCTAGCTCCTGCCCCTTGCCAGCCAAATTCTTTAACCTCTTCTGAACTTCGGTGTCTTCGTCTGCAAACTGGAGATATTAATGCTTACCCTGTAGACTAATTGTGAAGGTTAAATCAGAAAGAGACATTCAGAGTCTTTGAAGAGTCCTGGCAAACTGCAGCATTCAGTGAGCATGTGCACCTCCCCACTGCCTGCAGGTGGAAGACTCCCCAAATCAGACCTCCCCGGAGGAGTCAGCCAGACCCAGAAAGGTCTCTGTCTCCCCACCGCGATTCTAGGCCAAGGCTGGACTTTCTTCAGGGTGATGCCGCCTGGCTGTGGGGGCTGAGAACGGGGACTGGTCTCCTAGGTTGGGAGGGAGGAAACAGCAAAGGCTTGGATTCTAGTTTGTGGTGGGGATGGGGCCTGTGGGCCCCTGTGGTTGATACATACAGGAAACACTCACTGGGCACCTGACCTGTGCTACAAGCACAGTGACGAGCAAGACTAATGACGTGGACTCCCCTAGATGGGGAGACATTTCCACGTGCTGTGGTCAGGGCTGTGATGGGAGGCAGCATGGGGTCCTGTAAGAGCATAAAGCAGGCCCTCAGCCCGCCAGGGGCAGGAGGTGTGTGTGGGGGGGGGGGGAGGGGGCGGTCTGGAGGAGGAGACTGGCCTTAAGGGGAGTCTTGAGGAACAAGTAGAGGTTGCCTGGGAGACAATAGAAAGGAGATGCGAGAAGGGGGACATGTCAGGGTAACTTCAGCCTGTAGGTTGTGCCCGGAGGGTAAGTGGGGTGGCAGCCAGAGGAGCCAGGAGAAGTGGCTGGGGCGGGTCACAGAAGGTCTTACCTGCAGTGCTAAGGAGCTCAGATTGGACTTCTTAATCCCAGCATCCGGCAGCTCGGCCAGGCTGTTGGGAAGGGAAACCCCTGCCTCCAGGTAAGGACGTTGGCAAAAGCCCACGCTGCACCCTGCCCGGGAGGAGTGAGCAGACCCCAGGCAGGACCGCTCCCTTCCCTAGACAGTCTGGGGTGGGATCAGGGGCCACTGCCTTTCAGCTTCCTGGGAGCCCACCCTGGAAGGCAGAAGCCGCACCATCCTCTGCCCAGAGCACTCAGAGGGACGACTGCAAACTCTCACTTTATTTTCCATTTACTGAGGGAGCCAGGGAGGTGGGTGGAGAGAGAGGAGAAAGCTTGGAGAATCCACTCCGCATCTCCCTGGGCTCAGAGGACTCTGAGGATGACAATGATCGCAGCCGTCCCCTCTCCTCTGCGCACGCACACACACACACACACACACACACACACACACACACACACACACCTTTCCCGAGTCTCCTGGAAGCTTCTAAGGCCCAATCTCTTCCTCCTGCCCCAAAGCCTCCCCGTCACCCACTTCCTGCCTCAGGTCCTAGAAAAGGACACTAAAGCCTAAGATACGGGACAGGACCCAGGAGACCCAGCCGCTCAGCTCTCTGCGCCTCTTGAGTCAGACAAGGCAGCGGGAGGAGGGATGGACCCTGCTGCTCTCCGCCTGCTTAACGCTGCCTCCTCCTCTCCAGGGCTGCCTGCTGGGCACGGCGATGAGTGAGCAGGCCCAGCGGACAAGGATGGGGAGCCGCACCCAGGAGGGCGAGGAGTGATGCCCCGCCGTCCCCCATGACCGCCCTCGGAGTGGGGGTCCCCAGGCCCTGGCAGACTGCTGACCCTCAGCCCGCCAACTGCTAAGGGTGGGACTTGAGACGTTTCCCTGTGGATGGTCCCCTCCCCTGCTGCTCCACCATGAGGCTCCTCGTGGCCCCCCTCTTGCTAGCCTGGGTGGCTGGTGCCTCTGCCGCGGTGCCCGTGGTCCCCTGGCGTGTGCCCTGCCCCCCTCAGTGCGCCTGCCAGATCCGGCCCTGGTATACGCCCCGCTCGTCCTACCGCGAGGCCACCACCGTGGACTGCAATGACCTGTTCCTGACGGCCGTGCCCCCGGCGCTGCCCGCGGGCACGCAGACCCTGCTACTGCAGAGCAACGGCATCGCCCGCGTGGACCGGAGCGAGCTCGGCTACCTGGCCAACCTCACGGAGCTGGACCTGTCCCAGAACAGCTTTTCCGACGCCCGGGACTGTGACTTCCGGGCCCTGCCCCAGCTGCTGAGCCTGCACCTGGAGGAGAACCAGCTGACCCGCCTGGAGGACCACAGCTTTGCGGGGCTGGCCAGCCTGCAGGAGCTCTATCTCAACCACAACCAGCTGCGCCGCATCGCCCCGCGGGCCTTCGCCGGCCTCGGCAACCTGCTGCGGCTGCACCTCAACTCCAACCTGCTGCGGGCCGTGGACAGCCGCTGGTTCGAGATGCTGCCCAGCCTGGAGATCCTCATGATCGGGGGCAACAAGGTGGACGCCATCCTGGACATGAACTTCCGGCCCCTGGCCAACCTGCGCAGCCTGGTGCTGGCCGGCATGAGCCTGCGGGAGATCTCCAGCCACGCCCTGGAGGGGCTGCGGAGCCTGGAGAGCCTCTCCTTCTACGACAACCAGCTGGTCCGGGTGCCCCGGCGGGCGCTGGAGCAGGTGCCCGGCCTCAAGTTCCTGGACCTGAACAAGAACCCGCTGCAGCGGGTGGGGCCCGGGGACTTCGCCAACATGCTGCACCTCAAGGAGCTGGGGCTGAACAACATGGAGGAGCTGGTTTCCATCGACAAGTTCGCCCTGGTCAACCTCCCCGAGCTGACCAAGCTGGACATCACCAACAACCCGCGGCTGTCCTTCATCCACCCCCGCGCCTTCCACCACCTGCCCCAGATGGAGACCCTCATGCTCAACAACAACGCGCTCAGTGCCTTGCACCGGCAGACGGTGGAGTCGCTGCCCAACCTGCAGGAGGTGGGTCTCCACGGCAACCCCATCCGCTGCGACTGCGTCATCCGCTGGGCCAACGCCACCGGCAGCCGCGTCCGCTTCATCGAGCCGCAGTCCACCCTGTGCGCGGAGCCGCCGGACCTCCAGCGCCGCCCGGTCCGGGAGGTGCCCTTCCGCGAGATGACGGACCACTGCCTGCCCCTCATCTCCCCCCGCAGCTTCCCTCCCAGCCTCCACGTGGCCGGCGGACAGAGCCTGGTGCTGCACTGCCGGGCGCTGGCGGAGCCAGAGCCTGAGATCTACTGGGTCACTCCGGCTGGGGTTCGACTGACAGCGGCCCGTGCAGGCAAGAGACACCGGGTGTACCCCGAGGGGACCCTGGAGCTGCGGAGGGTGACGGTGGCAGAGGCGGGGCTGTACACCTGTGTGGCCCAGAACCTGGTGGGGGCCGATACCAAGACCGTCAGTGTGGTGGTGGGCCGGGCTCCCCTGAAGCTAGGCAGGGACAAGGGATGGGGGCTAGAGCTCCGGGTGCAGGAGACCCACCCCTATCGCATCCTGCTCTCTTGGGTCCCCCCACCCAACACCATCGCCACCAACCTCACCTGGTCCAGCGCCTCCTCCCTCCGGGGCCAGGGGGCCACTGCTCTGGCCCGCCTGCCTCGGGGCACCCACAGCTACAACATCACCCGCCTCCTTCAGGCCACGGAGTACTGGGCCTGCCTGCAAGTGGCCTTTGCTGATGCCCACACCCAGTTGGCCTGCGTATGGGCCAGGACTAAAGAGGCCACTCCCTGCCACAGAGCCTTAGGGGACCGGCCTGGGCTCATTGCCATCCTGGCCCTGGCTGTCCTCTTGCTGGCAGCCGGGATAGCAACCCACCTCGGCCCTGGCCAGCCCAGGCAGGGGGTGGGTGGGCGGCCTCTCCTTCCAGCCTGGGCTTTCTGGGGCTGGGGTGCCCCCTCAGTCCGGGTGGTGTCTGCACCCCTCGTCCGGCCCTGGAATCTGGGACAGAAGCTGCCCACGTCCTTAGAGGGGGAGACAGGGTCACCACCATTGTCTCACAATTCCTGGAGCTCGTCCTGTCCTCCGCAGTAGAGAGAAAACAAGGACCGCTTTTTAACAAAAGGGAAGCGATCTGGGCCTGATGCCCTGCCAAGAACGTGACATGGACCCACGTGCTCAAGGCCGGACCATGACAGACGGGGTCGGTGGCCCCAGGGCCTGCTCCTGCCACCCCCCAACCATGGCCCTTCCCTTCTGGGGGGCTCCTCTGCTGCCTCTTTGAGGAGCCTCTGCAAGGGACAGAAGGACTCTGGCGCAAACCTCCCACCTCCCCAGCTGTCTACATGCCCAGAGGCTCCTGGGCAGCGCCTGGCTGTCCCCTGCCCGTGTCCCCAGGCCCTCGGTCCTCAGGATGTGCCCCTCCTCTGCCGTTTCTCTGTTCAGCCTCAGTTGCTTGCTCCTCCCCCTCCCGGGCAAGGGCTGAAGGAGGCCTCTCCTCCCACCGTCCCAGCGACCCCAGCCTGCTCTGAAGGACACTTGGACGAGGCTGCCCAGGACCCCGCCGCCCCCTGGCAGCCCGGTTGGCGCTGGAGGTTGACTTTCTACAGGCAGTTTTGTACCTTTGCGGAGGAATGTGTCGCCTCCCCCAGCCCAGTTCGCTCTTTTCTCCTGTTTTGTAAAAAATAAAAGTAAATAAGAAAAACGTGCTAAGGAGGGAAAGGAGACCAAAGGGAAATAGTCCTTTGAATCCTGAGTACAAACCCGGAGCTCTGTGCTCAGGGGATCCCTGTGAGCCTAGAGGCGGGCAAGGGAGGGGCGGGAACGGAAGAGGAGAAAGCAAAGGGGGGGAATGGCGAACCAGGGCATTGGTTTCCTTCAGGTTTCAATTCCGGCCTCTCCCAGTCTGTAACCCTGAGCAGCGGAGCTGGGAAGAGGGACAAAGAGCCGAGAGGCTGACGAGAGAGGGAGGGAGCACAGGCGGCAAGGAGGAGGGTCGGGGAGAGAACGGGAGAAAAGGCCAGAGATGGCGGGAGTGGAAATTTCCATCACCAAACACTGTCACCCCTCCTCATTCTCTGATAAGCAATTAACATGCCAGTGCCTAAGAAGCACTTCCCAGGCCTCTTTCTAATTAAGCAAACCCAAGGGGCAGAGTCATGCAGAGAACTGCAAATCATCAAGACAGCCAGCGCCTGGCTCACTGGGGCAGGAGCCTGTGTGGGGTGATAGGGGATGGGGGCAGGTGAGGGCCGTGGGACAATGAACTCGGTGCATTTATCTTTCCGGTCCGTTTCAGTATAATTTGCAGTGAGCCTGGTTGGCTTTTACGGTATTTTTTAAAAAACAGATTGACTTCCGAAGCCCAAGTGTGAAGCGGACGTGTGTTGGAGAGGCCACAGGGGCGAGGGCAGGGGCTGCCGTGGGCCAGGCAGTGGGCAGCTCCAGAGCAAGAGGCCGCTGACCCCGGCCTCGTTCCGAGGTGTCTGGAGGAAGTGACGGAGCTCCTGAAACTGAAAAGCAGCAGCGCGTGAGCCTGAGGACCCCTGAGCTCCAGACACGCCAGCAGACTCCTCAGGGGCTGAGCTGAGCTGCCATGGAGTCACTGGTGGAAGCCAGACTAGGAGGCAGGGCATCAGGCCCCACGGGACCCACACAGAGCACCCTCACCCCAGCCAGAGGGTGATGCTCCTCCCTCGGTGAGCGCCGGAGAGCAGGGTTCTCTGAAGACCCTCACAAACGCCTGTTCAGAAGCCTGCTGCCCCTGTGCTCAGCCTGCCTCGGAGTCACCCAGGGCCTGCTGAGCGTGGATGGCCAGGCCCACCCCAGACTCCCCTAGGGGCCTCTGACCTAGATCTGGGCGGGTCCTGAGACTCTGCCTTCCTCACTCGTTTTCAGGGGACAGTGGTGCTGCTGGTCTGGGGGCCACACTTTGAGGACCTCAGAGCTCCATCCAGCATGTAGTGGCTAGAACCGTGGTCGGCAAACTGCGGCTCACGAGCCACATGTGGCTCTTTGGCCCCTTGAGTGTGGCTCTTCCTAAGCCTTAGGAGTACCCTAATTAAGTTAATAACAAGGTACCTACCTATATAGTTTAAGTTTAAAAAATGTGGCTCTCAAAAGAAATTTCAATCATTGTACCATTGATATTTGGCTCTGTTGACTAATGAGTTTGCCGACCACTGGGCTAGAACGTTCCACTCCTCCTCCAGGCCCCCAGGAGAGAGGGGGAAGGGGCCTCCGCTCCTCCCACTTCACTGGTGGGCTGCTAGGGTCAGCAGGCTCCATTCACACGTGCACCTTCCCATGGGTGCTGATGTGGTCTTTGTGGAGGGGGCGGGCGAGCAAAGACTCAGCAAACACGCTCCCGGCCCCTTCCGGCACCATGACCAACGCTCCTGCGGCCTCTGGTGTTCTCTCCTGGTGAACTTTGGGGTCACCACAGCTACGTTCTGGGCAGAGCCGCCAACTGCCTGGAGCTGGCCTGGGGAGCTAGCCTGTTCGCCACCCGTGATCCAGAAGGCATGTGGGGAGGAGGCGGGCAGGGCCTTTCGGATCATGGAAAACTGCAGCTGGAAATCAACGCCTCTCCTCGCTTTGCTGCCTTTCTGGATGGGCCCACATGGCACAGAGCTTCGAGGTCTTGCTCCCTTACGTGAGCACCCAGAAGCCCTGGGCAGCCTGTGGAGCCCTGCAGCCCCCTCCTGTCAGCACCTGCTGCCACCCCACACCTCCCCTAGGAGCCCTGGGCCCAGCGGAGCAAGAGACCCGGACAGTGAGCAGTGCACAGCGGGAGGCCCGAGGCCTCAGCTCCCGCTGGCTCAGAATAGCCCAGACGTGCCTGGGTTGGAAGGTGGAAGGCCTCTTTGCTACCTTCCTTTCCCTCAGCTGCAGACCAGAAGCCCTGGGGGGTGGGGAGAAGCCCCTGGGGAGAGGGGGGTCCATTCTGGTGCCCAGCCTCCGCACACCCAGTGTCTGGCTGTACTGCTGCGTCCCGGGTGCCCTGGAGTCTACAGCTGCTTGAGTCCTTGCAAATGAGTCCCTTCTTCCCGGGAGGAAAGGCAGCTATGGCGATTACACCTGTCTCTCAACTGGATCCCCATGTCCTAAGCGCATTGGCCACCAGGAGCAGTTAGGTGAGCTGAGAGAGGACGGGACGAGCGGCCTTGTTTCTCCTGGAAAGAGATGCCACTGCAGGGACACAGCCCGTCAGGGGGAAGGAGAAAGAGGCACTTGGTGGGTTGTTATTCCCTAGAATCGCTAGAAACTGAGGAAACGGGAGTGAGCAGCCTCGCCCTGGCACAGAGCTGGCATGTGCTCAGGTGCCTGTGAGCAGGCGGGAGGATGGGCGACCGTGCCCTGATGTCTATTAACACAGGCGAAGTGGCATTTGAAGTCAGCGTTCACACTAGACTGAGCGTGTAGGCAACTAAACATGCTGCGTTTAAAACAACAAAATAGCTATTTACCCGGTCTCTTCTGTACGTGTAGGATTGCTTTTTTAACCCTCAATAGACAGCAAGATTTATTTCTGTTTAAATGTTAAGTTATGTAAGACCTATTGTTTCCATCTATCGAGATGATTTCCAAACCCAGCCTAACTATTGACGTGCTAGCGTTCCCTCCCTAGTGCATGCCACTGCTCCATTCTGTCCTGCCTTCTCTGTCCTCATCCACAGCTCAGATTGTGGAGCAGACCTGGGTGGACATGTGCTGTGGCTCACCACCAGCTGACACAGGGCCAGCAATCAACATGTCCGGCGTGGCTGCTCAGATAACTGCAAACCACTGAACTATACGATCTTGCACTGGCATTTCTGCGTTCTCCCATGAGGCTGGCTTCGTTGGAGTCGCTGTCAAAATGAGGAGACAGTGAGTTTGTGGCGTTCCTGGGAGCTGAGTCTAGTCCCTGGTCACAGAAGAAAATGAGGTTGGCTGCTCTGTGTAGGATGGCCAGAGGGACTTTCCTGGTCTTAGCGCTGGAAGTCCCTTGTTTTAGGAGCTGTCAGTCTTGGGGCAACCTGGAATGGTTGGTCCCCCTAGTCTAGTGAACTCTTCCCTTTTTTTAAAATATATTTTTATTTATTTCAGAAAGGGAAAAGGAGAGAGAGATAGAAACATCAATGATGAGAATCATTGATTGGCTGCCTCCTGCGCTCCCCACACAGGGGATCGAGCCTGCAACCCGGGCATGTGCCCTGACCGGGAATCGAACCATGACTCCTGGTTCATAGGTTGACACTCAACCACTGAGCCATGCCGTCTGGGCTAGTGAACTCTTTCTAAATGTACCAAGCCATCTTCCTTGCTCCCTTGCTCCTCGCTCCCTCCTAATCACAGATATTTCATGAATTTGACTACGTGGTAGGCGCAGTTCTGGGAACTGGGGGTGCAGATGTAATTCTGAACCCGACTTTGTATTTCAGAGAGGGGAGAAAGCTGGTGAGCAGGCCCAGCCAGTAATATACAGTACGCTGGAAGGTGATGGCTGTGGGAAACAATGTCAGGAGGGAAGAGGATGAGAGGGGATGTGAGGCTCACCTAGGTGCTCAGCACAGGCCTTGTTGAGAAGGTGCCATTTGGGAGAGAGCCAAGCAGTTATCTGGGGGAAGAGTGATCCAGGCAAAGAGAATAGTATGGGTGAAGGCCAAGAGCAAGGAGGGAGGCGGAAGAGTAACGGCCCAGGTCAGAGAATAGCTAGGCAATTGCTCTGAGCCTTTAGGCCACGGGAAGGACTCAGGCCTTCCTTTCCAGCAAGAGGGGGGCCCACAGGAGGGTCCTGAACTGATTTGACTAAAGGGATCCCTCTGGCTGCTAGACTGAGAACAGCACGGAGGTACGGGGGTGTGGGGTGTTGAGTGCGGAAGCAGAGAGGCCAGTTAGGAGTCAGCCCACTGTGATTATCATCTCAGTTTAAGCACTGCTTCTAGGACTTTGCCAGGGATGGACATCAAGGACACCTCCGGTATTTTCTAAATCTCTCCTTTCCCCCGTTTTTGAAAATCAAAGCCACATGTTCTCTTTTGCAGGCTCCTGACCCCTCTGCCTTCCCCCTGAATCATCTAAAGCAGCTCACAGAGATCAAAGCTCCATCCCGTTGCACGTCTGTCAGTGCCCCGCCCCGTAACACAGAACCCGAACTCCTGCCAGGTAGCGAGGAAGGAGCCCCACTGTCCTCCCGTTCCACCTTCGTTGTGTTTGTCATTCAAGCATGTCACTCCAAGGGAGAGACAGCAGTGGCTGGAGGAGTACCCGTCCTGCCCTTGCTCCGTCACCATTGACAACCCTTTGGCTGTTCCAGGCCTGATGCCTACCTTCCTTCTTGATGGTTTTACTAAAAGAACCCTGTGTGCTCCTCGTGGGTTTCCCACGTGTCAGGTCACGTGCTTTAATCTCCCCGGCACGGTCCTTACCCACGTGTGCTTTCCTTCTGCAGTTGCCCTTTGATCAGCGCCATCCCCTTGTGTTTTTATAGAATCGTGATGATGGCTGACTTTGAGCACCTACTGTGTGCTAGCCATTCTAGTACAGATTTCACACATGCCATTTATTTCACCCGCAGCCGCCTTCTCAAGAAGATACTATTATCCCCATGTGACAAATGTAGATAGCAGAGCTCAGAAAGGCGAATCGGCTTGTCCGAAGTCACACAGCCAGTAAGTAGGTGGCAGAGTCAGGATTCAAGGGCTCTGTCTTCGCCACCCTGCTCCACTAGCTTCAAATTCATCTACTTTAAAAGTGTGTCAATGGTTCCTCAAGAACAT